TATATATATATATAAAGGATGAAATTTAGCTCAGTATAAAGGCCCTGAGATAAACTCCCTTTATCATAAAATAGAAAAAGAAAGAAAATCCATTAATGTAATTCACATACTAACCCATTAAAAGAGAAGCTATAGCATTTCAATAGACATAAATAATGCATTTGAAAAATCAGCTTAAATTTATTGTTAAAGAATAATATTTTAGTAAAATAGCAGTAGAAGGGAATTTCCTAAGCAAGGAAAAAGCACATATGAAAAGTAAGCAAATATGTAAACATTAGAAACATTGGAAGTTTACCCCACAAAATCTAGAAAGAGGCAAGGACATGTGGAATTATTACATACTTCATCCCTGGGTGTTCTTGCCAGTACATTAACTTGAGAAAAACAAAGCAGAGGCAGAAAGATTGGAAGGAAAACAATATCACCATTTGTTTGTTTGTTTTTCCGGTATCGGGAATTGAACTCACAACCTCACACTTACCAAGCAGGCACTGTGCCGCTTAGCTAAATCCCCAGCCTCAAATTATTATTATTATTATTATTTTGTTTTTTGTTTTTGTTGTTTTGGTACCAGGAATCGAACTCATGACCTCAGGCTTGCCAGGCAAGTGCTTATGCCTCTGAGCTACATCCCCGACCCCTCATTATCACCATTTGCACTTAGTATAATCATTTACATATAAAAGAAACTACAAAGGAAACTACACATACTTAGAAATAATAGGAGAATCTGACAAGTTAGCTTAATACAAGATTAATAGAAAGTAATGAATTGTACTTACACATATCAGCAAAAAAAGTAATTAAAAAGAAGATAATATTTACAATAGTCTTAGAGGACATCAATTGCCAAGGAATAAATCTAACAAAGATAAGCTAAAACCACTCCAGGGAAAATCCTAAATCTTAAAGAAACCTTGAATAAGGGAGGTAGATAGCCAGTTTGCTGAATGGGAGATTCAGTTCTCTCCAAATTACTTTGTGGGACAATTTTGGTCAAAATCCAAAAGGCTGTTTTGGAAAGGAATCTGATAAGCATTTACCAAATTAGCATTAGGTGTGGAAGAATAAAAACTAACAATAGCTAAGGTGCTTCTAAAGAAAATGTGTCCCTCCGGTGCTAGGACTTGGTGAAAGCTACAGTAAAAATATGGCAAGGGTAGTCTGATGCATTTGTTGACCAATGGACAGAGATCCCAGACAGCCCCAACCTCATCCTTCTATGCTTCCCTGGGTTAGACAATGATACAATATGTGTTTGTTTGCTTGACCATCTGAGAAGGTTCAGTTTTGCTGCAGAGAAAGGGAACAGGATGGGTAGGACTCGGATTTATTAGCTATCATGATGTTTGATTTTGATTGTCAGTTTGACTGGCTTGAGAGACATCAGCGTGATAGTAAAGCACAGCTCTGGGTGTGTTGGGTGGGTCATGGGGGTGTGACCCTGGGGACCGTCTGGTCCCTGACCCCTTGCTCTCTGCCTCTTCTGCTCTGCTTCCTGGCTGCCATGAGTGAACAGCTTTTCTCCACTAGACCTTTCCACCACGACGCTTCTCCCTCGGAGCCTGCAGACCACGGACTGAAACCAGGAGCCTAAGCAAAGCTTTTCTCATTTATATAACATTGGTCACACACTCGGTCCCAGCAATGAAAGCTAACACAACTATAGATAATATGTAAGCAAGTAACTTGTGAGACAGGCAGAACTCAGGAGACATGCTAAAAATAGTAAGCTAGAATCCCATAAGACATGTAAAAGTAGGATAAATGGGATGTGTTACACAAGGGTGAAATACACTAGAGTGTCACAGGTAAAAGGGGGCTAGAAAAGGAAGCTATAAATTACGAGGTAGAGACTCTACCACAATGATGTGACAGCCACATCGTTACGTATTAGTGACAATATTTCGGCTCTTATGTCCTCTGCCCCAAAAGTGCTGACAGAAGGGGTGGCTGTCCAGGACACTGAGGAGCAGTGTTAGCAGACCCAAGGCCAGGCCTCCGCCCTTGTACCTCCCAATAAAGCGAATACAGATGGATTCCAAGCATCTTCCACTTGCTGACTGCCTTCTTCCGTCTCTACTCTGGTCCTCAAAATATCACCCTAGAAGGAAATGCAAGACTCAGTTAAGGTGGTCCTCTCAGGCTGTTAACCAGCTCTGACTCTTGCCTCTTGGTTCTAGCTGAATGTTTTAAAGAGACCTATGAGTCAACCTTTTGTGATCTCTTCCTTTAATCTGGCCTGAGTCTTCCTGGTTGGAAGCCTGCTTCTCACGGAGGCAGCTGCTGTATCGAGGTAACTTCCCGCGGGATAGTGGGGCTGTGGATCAGCACACCATGTTTCCCAAATCCTGTCTGCTGGTTTCCAGTTTGAATCTGCCTAAAGGGGGACTGGAGGGAGACTGGCAGGCAGAAGGAGAAAAAGGATGCTCGGTAGAATGTAGGCTCGCCTTGCACTCTCCCAGAAGCCTACCACCTCCACCATGAAGGTTTCCTTCCTGCTATATTGTGACCAAACCCTGAGTGCTTTCAAAGGCCCCTCCCCGCCAGAAAGGTGGCTATGAGGGAAAAAAATCTTGGTTGCAAAATATGAAATTGGAAAGATAAAAATTAACAAATGGCTCATTCAGTGCCTACAAAAGATAAACTTAGTCAACCTACAAATTGCAATCCAACTCTTTAATAGTTCTATATACATGCAATAAGGTTTACATTACCAGGACAAAAATGAAGAACATTTTTTCAACCTCAGAATTATCCAAATCTTTTCCTTCTGTGTTTTGGGTTTTTTTCTGTTTTTTTGTTTTTTTCTTTTTTTGGTCTTTTTGAAACAGGGTCTCACTATGTAGTTCAGGCTGGCCTTGAGCTCACTTTGTAGCCCAGGCTGGTTTCAAACTCGCAATGATCCTCCTGCCTCAGCCTCCCAAGTGCTGGGATTACAGGAGTGTGCCACCACGCCCAGCCTCCTTCTGTGTTTTGAACGTCCCTCAGATTTCACATGTTGGAAACCTAATCCCCAAATATCTCCAGATCAGGAGGTGATACCTTTGCCAGATAATCAGGGCAGGAAAGCTCTGCTCTTAGAGATGAAACCGTGCATAGATCCGATGATTAATTGGTTACTGAAGGAATGGCTTTGCTACAAATGTGAGGTCTCTCAGGCTGGCTTGCTCTATCTAGCCATATGATACTCGCTTCTATGTGATTATTATAGACAGCTAAGTTAGATGGAAATTAATATACAGTCAGAGTGGGACTGGGCTCTCAAGGAAGTCAACACAAAAAATAGAGACATGTGAGTTATAACAAGGCAAATCTAGAGAAGGGCAGGCCTCAGGACAGAAAAACAATAGCCAGCCCTGCATACCTTCTTGCCCTGGAGATAAACAGCAATTTGAGAATATACAGTAATTAGCACTGCCTGGTCCACCTGATAGGCATCTGTTCCCTACAGTGGGTGAGCAAAACACCTGGACACACACTTCTTTCCCTTTCCAAAAATTCCTTTGATCTTTCATGATGGGTGATTTGTGTCCCTCCTGGATCAGTATTAGCTGCATACAGGTTGACTGTAGTTTGACCCACATTACCTGTATTGGAGTTTTGCTGTATAAATTACCCCTGACAAAAGGCCTTGGTGGCCAATCCAGCTCTCATCTCTCAAAGGGAGAGATTTACTGTGCACTGCACCTCCCCCTTTATTTTCCCTCCCGAAGCCTGCCATCCACTTGACCCTCTTCCTTTTTCTTTCCATAGCAGGGCTTCTTAGTGTGTGTGAGAATCACAGAAAGTGCTTCTCAGAAGTACAGATTCTTGGCCTTTACCTTTGATTCCCATTCTGTGAAGACTGTGCTTTGAGAAACTCTGTTCCTCTGAATCATTGTCTCTGATCCCAAAGGTAGTTAAGAAGTTGGAGTAGGAGAGATAAGTTTCCATTTTCCTATGTTTCCATTTCCTATGGTCCAACTCTAGAAAACAAATGGCATGTGAGGTAACCAGAAAAGAAATTCTGGCATTAAAGTTGGAGCCAATTGGATCAAGTTGATTTTCGCTTCTAGCAGGGATCACATCCACCTACTTTGTCTACAACTCCACACTGGGTGCCTGAAGCAGACCCTGCTCTGGGTGCTGAGGGAGCTGCAGGAATGAAAGGCATATGGTGTTCTCCTTGTTAACTCGGACTCCCAAAGACCAAGGCCTGATTTAAAAATGCATTTTGCAGCCTTTTTGTCCCCAGCTGCAGCCCCCTTGGATCACAATGCTCACACAGGAACCATCATTTGCACTTTCAAACAAACTAATACCATACCATTGTTTTCAATCAAATTTGCATACCTAAGCTTTGCTCTTGTTCTGTGATGAAAAGCTTTGCTCTCTATTTAAAGGACCATTAGACAATCAGATCAGAAAAGGAAGATTTGGAGTTTACATACTGTAGTCTACAAGGGAACGTAAAGATGGACCTACTTTCCTAATGCCGGGATGTTTACAGAGGAATAATTCAGAAGGGATCCTGAAGCCAGTCTGACCTTCCTTTACCCCCTTTGGGACCAGATATTGACACAGGAGAAACACAGATCCTGACGTGTTAGATGTCAAATGTGCCAAGTTTGTGGTCTCACAACATGGGGAGAGGAATGAAGTTGAGAACCAAAGAAAGAAGTTAGGAGAGTTTTATTGAAAATAAAGAGAAAAGAAGAGCTCCTGGATTTCCAGGAGGGGTCCTGAATAGGGTGGCCACTGAGGCCCTTTGTCAGGGGTAATTTATACAGCAAAGTCACATCGTGGATACAACTTGGGTCAGACTACAGTCAACTTACAGGATTACAAGTATAGCTTCTTAGCTAATACTGATCTAACAGGGAAGTGAGTCATGTAGCAAGGGTACCTGGAAAGACCAAAGGCATTTTGGGGAAGAGATGGGACCTGGTCACGCACCCACCCGGGTGACTGATGCCTATCTGGACTTCCTGAACCAGGTGGTGCTAATCATAATGTAATCTCAAGTTACTGCTTATCCCTTAGGGAGGCATGTAGGCCTGGCTCTATCATCTTTATCTTGAGGCCTGGTCTTCTTCAGATGCACCTCCAGCCACAATTCTGACATCTTTATTCCTTCTGCTGACTTCCTTGACAGCCCGTCCCTCTCTGTGTATTCATTTCTATCTGACTTGGCTGTCAGCAGTCAGAGCATGGTGCCAGGATCTGCCCAGCCTGGCTCCTTTCTCCTCCAGCTCCCCTCCCCACAGCAGGGCAAGGTTGACCTTGAAGGTAGGAGTTTCTCCTAACTCCTCTCTTTGGTTTGAGGCTTCATTTCTCCATGGTGTGGGACCAGGACAAGAACTCAGCACATCTGGCATCTAACAGCTCAGTTCTCCAACACCCAGTCCTTTTTCTGAAGAGCGAGCAAGAGGAATCCCAGAAGTTTGAACCAGGGCTGGAGAGAGACTGACGGGAGAGGGCTTCCCGGGAGTTTCGGGAGTCCCTTGTCTCGGTGAACCGTAACTTTTTCCCTCAGTCGAGTTGGGCAGGTACGGTCAGGTACGGGGGTGAGAACCCTGCAAATCAATCCAGTGCTGTAGATCTTGCAGGAAGCAGGGAGGAAGAGGGAAAGAAGTCTGCAAGGGCGAACTGGGTGGCTAGAGTGGGTGTCACAGTCGTTTATGTGTCCAGCTCACAGTCTCAGTGAAACTTCAGAGAGTCGCACTGGGCAGGTGGTGAATTTTACCTGAGGATCAAACACTCCCTCCTGTAAACTCAGGCCTTCACAGTGCATTCCTTTCCCAAGATTGTTATTGTTAACTGTTTAAAATACAAGCATGAGGAAAGGCGCGCTGCGGGAACCCGAGGAGTGGTGGCCAGGTTGACACAAAGGTTAAACGAGGGTCTGTCCGGCTGGACCCCGCAGGGCCTCGGCGGGAAGCGGAGCTGGAGCCCGGGGCGCTCAGACCTCACCTCCCCCCGGCCTCGACGGCGACGCAACCCCGGGTCCCACTCCCACCTCCGCCTCGGGACCGAGCGGGGACGCTCGGCCCGCGGCAGCCAAGGCAAGGGGCTGGCCTCTAGGACCAGAGGCGGGGGAGGAGGAGGGGAGAGGGCCGGACCCCCACCCCGGCCCCTCCCGGGGGAGGGGCTGATAGACGTTGGCCGGGCGGCGCCGCAGCTCACTG